TGAGGATTCACTTTACAGCTTTTTTCAAAAGGTAGCCCTCTTGAACACAAGAGTAGTCTTAAAAAAGATATCCACAATTTCATAAAACAGTTTTGCTCTTTGCAGCAACTCACTTCATGAACTGCATTTGACATTTCCTACTTCTAAAACTAATGAAACCTCTGAGACACTGACTGCATATAAATTGAAAATTACACTACTTTTAGAAAAATTAGCATCAACATTTCTTACAAAACATCCTGCTATTTGAAATGATACTCAACAAGTTCTAAAACCAGGTTTCTATGTTACAAAATCACAATTACAATGAACTATGTTTGAAAATTCACAACACCGTCAAAGTTTACCAAATGTTACTATGTTATTTTTACAATATTAAAGAATACAAGCCTTCAGACTTCCTGCAGAAACACCAGTAGGCTATAATATTAGTAAATATGAGCCCCCAGACTCAGTGCTGAACCACTGAGTGGGGAGCCACAATATTAGTGACTACGAGTTAAAAAACAAACAAACTTCAAAATAGTCACTTATAATTTTCTGATAAATGTTCATCAGGTCCAAAATGTTTTTTGCTGACAGGTTTTCATTTTAACTGAAAGCTTTGAAAAGAAGATTGTTTTCATCAAACAAATAGAAAAATATTTAGAATTATAATTTGTTCTTAAGCTACTGAAATGTGATTTCTCCAAATAGTTCAATCTACACTTAATGAAATGGATCAACACACCCAAGCCAGTAAGGAGCTTGCCCCTGGTTTCAGGGTTTTATGTTATCATTATACAAAGTAAGTTACTAACTGATTATATTCTTGTCTCTAGTAACGTTCATTGGGTCATTTTTAAGATCATGCTCTGCATTTAATTTTCTCTTCAGTTTAAGTATAGAATCCACTTTTTAACTCTCTTTCACTGTTGTTGCAAACTATAATTGGTATTTGTTGTTTACAGTATATGAAAAATGTTTCATTAGAAATATTTCCTGTCTCTATATGTTTGATACATTACAGTACTTTCATTGCTCAGTTTCCATTCAGTTGCATTCAAAACATATCTAAAGTATTACAAACAACAGTATAAAAAAATGATGCTGATGCTACAAGATATTTAAAACAACAAATTTATATATTTTTTAAACTTTTTATCCTCCACATTGTTAAAAAACAAACTTTAAAATATCATATCAATTTTTTCATATCAAAACGTCATGTTGGCTACAGGTTAAATGATTACAACAGATCACTTTGAATACAAAGATTAAAGCAGTCAAACTGAACTGAATATTTAAACAGTATTCTTACTTTGTAGCTAATAATTCATTGTTTTCCATGATCAGGTTTTCCACTTCCTTTCCCATACCTGAAGATGGTTTCAAAAAAATATTTTGTTAAAACTTGAAGAATTTTATATCCAAAACAACACAAAAGTTCAGGAACAAAAATAAGTGATTTAAACACATATGACACTTCATGAGAAAAGTACTAAACTCTGAAGGAAAATGCTTCATGGTTGTTTTATATACATAGGAAGTAACAATTAATATAATATCTAATCAAAACAAGCTACCTAATTAGACAGAAAGTTAATCAGTATAGCTAATTAAATATACTTCTCTTAATATGTGCTTAATTATAATGATAAGAATGCATTGTTTCATCAGTTGGGTACTTTCCCTTAGTGTTAATGTTATATCCATGTTGATTTTATTCTCTGTTGATCAATCCTGGAGCTTGAGATACTTAATACTTTTCAGTGAATACCACAGTCTGAGTTATTATGTTACATTCTGATGATGTGAGCTAGGATTTGCTTTTGTTGAATTTATTTTGGACACCCTTATTCTTCCATTCAACTCTCTCATTCTGTAAAGTTCATCATCATGCAAGGGCACTATCTGAGACCACAAAGGCAAAGCAGTATATGAGGTGAAAACATGATCAGAGAATGCACTAAGGATTAGGAGGAACCTTCTCTTAGACAAAGAACTTTCATCAGCTATCAAGACTGAAAGATGGCTTGGAAAAACTCCATCTATTGAGGCTCCACTCCTAATGGTACTGTTTCTTGTTGGATACAGGAGACTGGTCATGGTGGTTTTCTCAATAGAACTCATTAACCACAAATTGGTTTGTGTCAACAATGGCAAGAGAGAGTGGTGAGATGGATAAGCTGGCTGCAAAAAGTCACAATGCTATTACAAGGAACAGCCAGCATCTCACTGTGATTCTAGAGATCTTTGGGGCAGTCAGGAGCCTTTCCCATTGGCAAGGCAGACTGGTGACATACTGAAGTAGCATTCATTGGTTGAAGTTACCACAGAAGAAAGGGCATGTCCTTAACATTGTAGCATTCTGCTCCTGAATTTTACTGAAGACAAAACCTTTGTCATGATGCACATCACTAGACTTGTAGAGGAACATAAGCTTCCTGTGAACACCCAGAACACCTGCTGAGGTTGAGAAGCCTGTAGTATTGCTTGTCTGCAAATTAAGGTGATGATGTGAAATAGATGAATTTGCAGGGGATTAAGGAGACAGCAAGAGAAGACATGGGCAATATTGTCAACAATTTTAACCTAGTTGTTGCATGGAATAGATGAATTAAGGCACAGGTAGTGCAAAATCTGATGCTGACTCTATATGGTTCAGAGGTTGGCACTATGGAACATTCGGAAAAGGAACAACTGAAATAATGTTGTCAATGAGTTGCACTTTCATTATAAGGCCTTTGAAGAACCAAGGGAGAAACAGGGAGAATTTAAAAACTCAAAAGTGAGGACTCCAAGAAAGCATAGTCTAGAAGGATGACCTAAGAAGATTGCATTGGAAGGCATTTCTGAGTATACCTCATGTGATTACAATGAGACAGTAGCTTACTGAAGGGCTTTGAGTGAAACCGGGTGGCACCACATGGGTCACAGAGGTTGCTTATCTCTTACAGAGGAGGTTTCTCAGGTGATGCAGTGTAAAGCCATCACATCAAACTGTACACTGATACAGGAAAAAAAAAACTGCAACTGTGTAGTCTGCTAAAAAACAACTTCCAAGGTTTATGATGGCTCAACTGATGTTTCCATTGACAGCTCTTCCAGCTAAACTGGAGTAAATGCTTCAAGATGCCATGACAAATCTGCCATGGTTCCAGTTCCAGATGGGACAGCATGACTTCCCAGGTCTAACTACAATGTTTGCACCACCTAAGCAAAACGTATTGGGCTAAAGAAGATGCCAAGAGCATGAAAGAAAGAGTGAATGGATGTGGGAATGTTGCAATGCAAGATTATTGGGTGCAAACAATGTTCAGACAAATGTTAAAGAATTTTCAGGAGATGATTACAGTAAAATATGCTGTAGGTTAAACTAGTAAAACCTGAGTTTACTTCACCCAGCAGTCAGCTTGCACCCTATAGTATGGTGGCTGGTTTGGACAACCGTGAACCTGGCATTGCATGGCACATACCAGTAAGTATACATGGATATGAAGCTGGATTTCTAATGAATACTGGAACTACCTTATTTGACCTTGCTGTGCATCAGATATTACAAAGGAAACAATCATTTTAATCAATTAGCACAACCTTTGTTACTGCATGTGTTGACATGCTAAATGTGAAAGGAGAGAAATAGCTCCAAATTCCTCTTGGCAATGTCACTTGTCAAGTGAAAGTAGTTTTCTCCAATCTTGGTTCATGCACTGGTAACTTAAGGATGGAACTACTCTAGAAACTGCCAGACAGTTTTACTTCTACAAAAGCTGGACTACAGTTAAGCAACAAAACCATCCAGTGCCAGCCAGATTAGGTCCAAGGATAACAGACGTAATGAAGTAGTGATACTGCCAAACATGCGAGTTGTTTTCTCATATGTGCATTTTTGTCGACTGATATGGTGAAGCAGTTTTCGTTGTTTATTTTTTGTACGGAAAGCAGGTATGTTTGCTCAAAGAGTTATCTATCCAAGCACTGTTGTTGTACTAATGCCAGCCTTGTAATTAGGAACATGCAATTGGAAGAGTAATGGTATGGTAACAGAAACCACATCACAGCCAATGTAGCTCATTTTAGAATGAATACACACCTCAAGTCTTTATCTGAGGATTGTGCTAACAATCTGAACTCCATACAGAGACATGAATTAAGTAACTTTTTCAATGAATTTGCTGATGCACTGTGAGACCAGACGACCAATTAGATCATACAACAAATACATATCATCACATACATGCAGGTGACCTGTCTGATAAAACCACCATCATGCATATCTTGCTATATATATGAACCAGTCTATATATACTTAATTATGTACGTGAATGAGATATAGACATGAACACAATTTTTGGGGTAAAAAGTCACAAAAAGCCTGTTGTCAGGGGCCAGCAGGGACAGAGGATTAGCTCATATAGCAATATAAGCACAAACCTATGAAATTTATTTGAAATAGACATTCTGTAGTGCTTGGGGGGAAGCATATTCTTGCATTAGTGGGGTTAATCCATTGACCATGAATACTGTAAAGTGGAGTACATATACTACACCTGGTCTAGAAATATTTTCCAAGAAAAGACTGGGCTGTAACCTAACTGGTTATTACACTTAAACTATCACAGATTGAAGTTTTCAATCCTGACTTTAGTTACATAAGATCAGAATTCTTGACTAATATCTTAATTTCAACCTCTGAACACCAAAATAAAAAGTCTGATTTGCATAAGTTACTGAATTAGAAGAGGACTTCTTTTTGAAAGTCCTTAGGAACTTGACCTTGCACCAGTGACACCAGGGAAACCCCAACAGAAGAAGAACAACTCTAGAATGCTTTAGACTGCACTGGGTTGACTAAATTGTTGACAATGTTATTGCCAATCTCCTTGTTACCAGCCACGTGCCTTTCCCATTCATGTACTTGCTTGAGGAGTCAAGAGCCCAGTGCCACAAATGTACCAACAACACATCAAGACACAACAATGTGGTGCACCATCGCATTTCAAATCATCAAGATGCCTTCCCATGACTGTATTGCCTAAGAAGAAGATGGCACCACCTTATATCAGACACTCTAAAGTCTCACCCTCATATGGAACATTGATTTCTTCACCAGATATCATCATTGGAGGAGTTAGAAAGCAAGACAATGGAGATAACACAGTCAAAACCAGGCTGCAAAGTAGCCCAAGTTGTGGTTTGTCGGAAAGTCTTAGATCAGTGATGTAGAAAAAAAAAGAGTTGGTGGGCAATAACCATTGGCAAGATGGGCATGAAGAGGCTAGAGATGCTTCCAAAAAAAATCTACACAGAAGGATTTTAATAGTTTTCTGTCACCTCTCTAGAGGCACAGTTTAGATAGTGATGTATTGTATATGTATCTGTATTTTTTGTTCTTTTGTTAATTTCATTAAGCTCTCAAACTATCTTTTATTTAATGTAATTAAGTTCTGTGTTGAGCATTATTTTACTAAAGGTTTCTTTATACACTTTCATCTGGTTTTATGAATGAGTGTTATTCTGCATAATGTGAAAAGGAAAACTTGGATAAATGATAATAAAAAATAAATTAACATGTCTAAATGAATGATTACTTCTAGCCTAATTCCATTGTAACATGGTCTTTACTGCCTGATGAAGGCCATCTGCTCGAAACATCACACAAAATAAACTAGCAAAAGTTTTCATTTGGACGTGTTTTATGTTTAATTTCATTTACTTTGAGATTTCAAGCTTTGTAGTATATTAAGTTTAAATTTAATTCTGATTCTCTATACTATTTCCTTTAAAAAACATGATTTTATTTCATTTATGTTGTAATTCTTTGGTTTTTGTCTAACAATTTTAGATTTTCAGATTTGTAGTCAATTCTGTTTTAAATTTTTTGTATGTGGTTTTATTGTTTTATAAATTTTCATTATGTATCCATCTTTATATCTGTACAGGTTTTGTCCTTTAACATTTTAGTTATTGTTGTATGAAAACAAGTACCTCTGTATTTTATTTTACTTAGATCATTTTGAGTTGTAATTATATTCATGTTGATAGACCATTTGTTTTTGAACTTAATGTATTTCATTTGAATTTTGTAACTATTTAATGTCTCATTGTTGAATTTGTACACATTTTTAAAAATTATTGCTTACAATATTTAACACAATTTGGTTTGCTTCATTTAAATCTGATATTTTGAATTGGCTGTTGGAGAAGTTATATTTGAATAATGTATTATGTCATTCTACAGAGAGGTCATACTTATTTCAAGGGGTGGCAAAGAGACTTGTTAGAATGAGGTGGGGTTTATCTCCCTTGAAAATATGTAATGAGAATGATTATTGACCTGAGATTGTGTGAAATAACACTAAAAGCATAATTTTTCACTTAACGTACCAGCATTACTCTTGTTGATGTCTACATTCTATACATGTTATTCTGACCTGGAATCAATAGTGGACACTGAAGTACGTGTAATGCAACAACAATACTTTGTTTCTGTGTTAATAAACATTTGGTTACATTTGTATACTTGTGTATACTTTTTTCCTTTTCTGACTGTTATTTCCTGACCTTACAAAGTAGTACTTGATACTTTTCTGTACCTTTATACCCCAATTTGCTTATTTATATAACTTAAAATTACTGATGTTTATGTTGTAGACATACCCAATGTAACCACAGAAAAGTTTGATTAACTGGTGCTTAACAGTTAATACCCATATATATAGTTATCCCACATATCAAGGACGTTATGTTTTTATGTTGTTTATATAACAAAAATGAAAAACAAAAAAACATGTTGGCAATTCTGTATTTTCTGCAGAATTTCCCTAAGGTTTGCAATTTTCACAACGTTTCAAACAAGTGAAATTACTTTATGACATAAAGACTACTAAATCGTTTTACTGTTCATCTGCCATGAATTAAATTCATATCATCTTCTCATCGAGTATAGTATGACATGTTTACAAGAAGTATAAACATGCAATGTTCAAATTAGTAGAATAATTCCATTAAACATGAAACTTATAAAAAATAATAAAATTTAGGATGATCATTACTTTAAACAGAATCTCTGGAGCTGAAAAAAAACAATAACTATCTGAAAACAACAGATAGTTTAAAAGGAACCGAGCTACATTATTAGGAACAGATTGTGACATTTAATCTATCTTAAAGCAGGTTTACAGTTTCTCATTTCATCTAAATATATTATGATTTAACAAAACTTTTATGAGTAAAAAGTTGGACAACACCTTTCCTATTTGAAGAAATTTTTCAACATTCACGATAAATAAAAATATTAACATTAAAAACATTTTTACTACAATCATATAAAAATAATTTCATAAATCTAACTAATGGTACAACTAGAATTAAATCTATTTTATTTGAAATAGGTTTAACAGTTAACAATGTAATTTTGCCTACAGTTTTAACAATAATTATTAAAATTGTTATCAACAGAACAGAATTTTTAGTAGCTGAGAGCTATTTTGGAACTAATAGTGTTTACTATCTAGAAGCTGAAGAAGCATGCTTACCAAAAAAGTTGTCAGTAACTATTGTGGGTGAAGGAAAAAAAGGAAAAACCTTGTTAATTGCATTTTACAAGCAACATAAAATGCAAGCAAGTTGAACAGAAACATACAGCAAAAATATTAATACCATATACAATGAATCATCATTAAAAAATACCACAATAACTTATAACTTGATTGTTAACAGAACTCTAAATAATAACTACCTTGTTATTATAGAACTTAAAACGTTTTTATTGTTGGATATACAGAATATAATATTCATAGTTACAACATTGTTGTACCTGATGATGCCAGGTTAACCTGACAAAATGTTGTAACCATAAATATTATGCTCTGTATATCTGACAATAAATAAATTCTAAGTTTAACAGTGTTTACAACAATATCACCCATATTGTAAAGTGTACCTTACTTAAAGAGAAGTATTTTTGAAAGTACATAATTAATGTGAATTTACCAACAAAAATGGTATAATGGGAGATAGCTTACAATCTTCTGACATCATCAATATTGTTAGTATCGAAAGATGCACAAATTTACATTATCAAACTAAAGCTACATGTATTAGTGACAGAAACTGGACAATTAGTTAAAAGTAAACACAGAAACTTTTACTTAATTGGAACTTGTAATAATTATTTGTTTTTAACAATAAAAATTACTAACTTAGAAATAAAACCTGTGTTTATTAAAAATTGTATTATTTTTTATTTGGACGTGTTTCTAGCTAGACAATGTGTTGTTTACATAAAGAAGAAAAATTAAGTAATCAACTATTTTAAAAACAGTTTAAATGAATAGCTTATAATACAATAAAATATTTAGATTCAAATGTTTCTCTAAAATATATACATAAGATTTTGTTAGTATTGTTAAAACTACAGAATTTAGAAGTTAGTCCACAAATTATTTAAATTACTTTACTACTGGCCAATCAGCTTGAAATATTTTCTAGAATGGTAGATGTAAAACAACTGTCCTAAAGTGAAAAAATACTACATAACTTATTTCATATGTTAAAAATACTGTAAACATTATGTATTAAAAAAAATAATGTGGAAAAATACATAATAAATACATAATATAAGGAATTAAGCCTTGGTAGGTATACATTACAATAATATAAAGAATTAAGCCTTGGTAGGTATACATTACATAATATAAAGAATTAAGTCTTGGTAGGTATACATTACATAATATAAGGAATTAAGCATTGGTAGGTATACATTACATAATATAAGGAATTAAGCATTGGTAGGTATACATTACATAAGGAATTAAGCCTTGATAGGTATACATTACATAATATAAATTAATTCTTGGTAGCAATCATTACTTTATATTAACACAATTTTATATAAAGTTCTTCAGTTCAGTGCTTACAGAGCATTAAAGTACTAAAAAAAAGGCCTAATAGACTGTTTCTGAAAAATATCCTTTCACTCTTATTCTTTATAAAACTCTACACTATCATAATATAAAAGTATATTAGCATTTTAAGCAAGTTTTCATAATCTGATACAACTGTATATTCTAAAACAAATGATACATGGATATCTAGTTTTTAAAAATTTCTTATAACTTAAAAGCTGGTATTTACTTCTTATGCCTATCAAAATAAGAGACAAATAAAAATATCCTAAATATTTGTTTCTTTGAGATAACTGTACATTTCTCACCCTTCCTTGACTGTTCATTCTCTGTTTCACTGTCACTGTCTACAAACAGTATGGTAGTGCCAGGAAAAAAACAACATGCACATCAGCAAGTTACACCATCAATCAGAAAAAGAAAGGAGAAAAAAATATATTAAGCATCATAAAAACCAAACAGAATTCCATGCTAGCTGGTCTACTAGCTTTGTGTTTTACTAAGAAAACATTTTCAAGGAAGTTATCAGCTACAACATATAACTAAACCTTACAAATACACTCAAACAATCAATGTTTTTAGTTACACAATTTAAAACTTTATTCTGAGACCGTCAATGGTCTCAAAATAGATGCTATACACATTTCCACCTACAATCACATCATCCTCAGGAGTGTAAAATCAAAAACAGTGCAAATCATACATACTAAACCCATTAGTCATGCCATCTATGTACTTTCTGACTTATCAACCCTTCATTCTTAATCGAGATGATTATTTTTTGTGTATTTAATTATACTTATAGATTCTCTGATATTTCCATCCATCCTATCATTCAGTTGGGCCAAATAATATGACTGATATGTCTTATATGTTCCATTGGTGCACTTTTTTTTATTCTGTAATTTCTCTTATGTTAATTTCTTTTAAACTTATTTTAGTATGACTAAAGTATACACATTCACATTCAATTTTGTAAACACCCATTTCCTCCATTTCATCAATTACATCTTTAGTTTTATTTAATATTTGACTAATTTTATTCAAAGGTTCATAAATCAGAAAAATAGTTCAATTTTGTTTTATATAATTCTGGCCATAAATCTTGCCTATGAAGAGTCTTGGAGCTAGTAGAACATTAAGAATTATATTGGATGAATCATTCCTCAATTCAACAAAAGATACAAATCTTTATGATGATCCTTGATAGCGGGAATGGCTTTCTCTTTACCGAGTAATGATAACCTACTTGTAGAATTACATCTGTCAAAGTATGAATTACTTATAAATATCCATAAATTTCCTTGCCTGTAAATGAAAAAGAGTGAAGGATGACAATGTACCTTTTCTTTACCCCTGATCTAGTAAGAAAGAATAGTTTGCACGCACCAATAGGGTTATAGTGATGATAACATAACATTGCCATGTTAGCATCAGGAGAACAAACAATAACTGTATCACAACCATTGGCTTTGGAATATGTACGGTGTAAGCATCCTTGTATCAGTTTTCTTGTGGTAGAGAAAACAACATATAAAATATAAAATTTTAATGAAGGTTAACAATATCCTTACCTGAAAATGTATTTCTTATACTCACCTCTTTACATAGAATAGCTTGATTCCTTTGTGCATCTGCCTAAGAGATTTGCATGCCACTAACCTGAAGCTACCACCCAAAAAATTTGTGTTTAGCATGAACTGCGCAGTGAATGATTTCATCATCATGTGATGATAGTCCTACACCAATTCAAGGGTGATATAATTTCCTCACACAGTACTTCTCCCTAAGTACTTGAGCTTGAATTCTTCATTCTTAGATGAGGCAAAAAGAAAGTGCACTTGAAGAGGGGAGGATGGGTGAGAAGGTGTGCCGAGATATCTATCAGAAATACATTTTCAGGTAAACAAAATGTTAACTTCCGAGACAATACCTCACCTCCTCACACAGAATAGCTAGAATCTCACAATGAAATGGTGGAGTGGGTCGTGCAAAGATTAAGCCTAGATGAGCTCCTTTCAGAAAGTGTCTGAAGGGAAAGCTCTTGGAATGTGACACCTAATGATAGGAGCTCCATAGGGGCACAACTATGAGAGGCTGAATTTCGTCTCGATCAGAGTTGGGATGAGCCGAACCTTAGCATGACCAGCCAGGCACTAGAACACAGGCAGTCAATGAGCCAAGAAGTGTGGTATGGTTAGGGTAAAGAAAAACTGTTCTATTGCAGGAATAGGATACAACCATACTTCTCAACATATTGTGCTTTACACAGTCAGTGAGAAACTGCCCAAGGTCCACCACCAGCAGCTGGGAAGAAGGGAGGGAGAATTTATATTGGAAAGACCTAGAAAAGTGCCTAGATCCCCACCCGACACCTGCTGAAAAGGTCATTTACTGTATTCAATGCAATTGAAGACTTCATAACACTATTTTTAAAATCTAGCAAGCCTGAGCCAAAGAAGTGGGCAGCCACCTGGTGGGATCATATAAAAGGGAAAACAGCAGGAGACAAAACAGCTAGATGATGAAGAAAATGGGAGATGAATGTGTGCAGAATCATTCACATGTCCACCTGAAGGATCCTGTCCAATGGTGGGCAAAAGTGAAGTACAAGAGAGTGAGATGAAGCTGATGCAACAAAATGTGTAAGAGCCTGCTAGCATCTATATCCAAGGAAGTACACTAAGTGGAGGAATTGGCAGATCCAACCTCTAAGAGTATAAGAAACGAGGCCCTTCGACAAAGAGGGGTCCCAAAAATGAAACGTACATGCCATACACTGAACAACTTGAACTAAACACAGATGATGATGCAATTCTGAATGAGCATAGAGGTGAGAAATTGAATAGAGGGAGACGGGAGGGAGAAAGAAAAAAAAACAGTCTCCTTCCCAAGCAGCCAAAGTCTTAGGAAAAAAAAAGGCCTGGTCAGGGTAGAGAAGTAAGTATGGAAAAAGAAAGTGCAAGAAGCATCAATAGCATATACATACAAATGATGATGACCACAGGTGAGAAGGAGAAGGAAATATGCCTTCAGGAAAAGATGATGTACGGAAGATGAAGTCAATGTCTCGAACATAGGTAAAACCAAATTAAGGTCCCAATCAAGCATGGAAGTAGGATGAGGGGATTGGTGAAGAAGGAATAATATGAACAAAGTGAAGAGGGCAGTGGAAGAAAAACTTGGCAGTAACTAGAAAGGCAAAATGTTGTTGGTAAAGCTGTTTGATAACCAGCAATGGATGAAGCCAACAATCCATGGATGGAGGTAAATACCTATCAGAAAAACATTTTCAGTATAGAAAAATTATAACTTCTCGTACGGTACTTTATCTATTCTCACATAAATAGCTAGAATCCCACATTGAACAGGTGGATGGATAGGTGTGAAGGAAATCAAGAAGCATCCTTTAAACGTATCCAAAAAACACCCTAAAAGGGGAGGTCCTCATAGTAGAGGATCATATGTGGGAGACTGCACCACTTCTGTACCAAGTATACTCTTTTCCCAATGTGGAAAGAGGTGTCACAGATATTGGAAGAAATCGGGAGGAGCACATCCAAAAGGGAGAGAGCATTGGTTGGATAAAGATCCAAACCACATGATCTTGGAATCTCAATTCCATAGAGTACATCATTGTGGTTGAGAGTAAAAGCATGTGCCTCTAGTTGTAGAGTGGCTAGGGTGTGACAGACCGTCAACTACATCCAAAACCGAGGCCATAGCGAACCACATCCACGCAGGGGTATGATGAGGAACATACCATTGGTAAATCAACTACAATCCAAGACCCAGCCACCAATAACCAACATCCATGTAGTGGTAGGAAAGAGGATCATATTGCTGGCAAGTCAACTACAATCCAAAACCCAGCCATCTGGTGGAGGTAGGAAAGAGGATCATACCATCTTCACCTCAAGTTCATGAGACCAGAAGGAATCGCATAACCCTTCCCCCAACCTATGAATAGGACACATGATAGCAATGTTAGAAATTGATTAATTGAGCTGGGAACCCAACATCCAGCATCAAAAAGATGTCTGTGTAATGTAAGCCATCTCATTCAAAATCAAAATGACAGGAACCATGCCAAGCACAGTAACATTCTCAGAATAATAAGAACATTGAGGGATAGCAGAAGGGGAAGAACTGTAGTAATCTGCAAGTACCTCCACCATGATCCATAACAAGGATGGAGAAACAAGAGTATAAATGAATGAGAGAATAGAGACATCTGTAATAAATGTGTGAGGACTTATGTTGTTTGGTTCAGCTCTAAATCCAAAACCCAGCCACTGGCATCCACATGGGGTAAGGATGAGGGATCCCAATTGAAATGGTGAACTTCAATTTTGATAGTTTACCCCAATGTTACATAATGGAGGACATCTCATCAGCATAACACCACCGCCCTACTTTCAAATGGTTCATTAATACATTCAGGAGGATGCCTCCTCAGTCCACCACCCAAGTGGCTTGGAACTGGAAAGTGGTACAAACTCTCAAGCTCCACTACAAGAAAAAGGGAGAGAAAGCATGGTGGAGAGTCCAGAGGAACGACAACACCTAAGACAGTGCAATGGGTGACCACGAAACCCTATTTTGGAAAGCAAACCATAACGATTTATTCAATACAAGGCATGGCAGGGATGGGCAACTATCCCCTTCTGCTTTACCCATAAAGTCCATGGGTGAGTACATTCCAGGATGGGCATATTAATGAGGCAAATATATTACGAGGATAAACCTACAAGCAATCTTGTGGAACACCCCATCTCTGCAGTGTGCATTTAGTGGCCATGGAGCTCTAACTGTTAAGTCATCATGGCCTTACACTGCAGCTTTTACTAGTTTAAGTATACCTGTACAGGCACGACTTGTCACAGAGATCTGAAAAGAAAAAAAGAGGGACATGCCCCTGAAAAATAAGACGTATATATACTAAAAAGTAACTTACCCAGTCACAGTCTCACAAAAGAGTGAAGGATGACAACAGGTAGATGACGGTACCTTGACAATGAAGAAACAGCTACTCAAAGTATAGAATGGGAGATGAACGTACGAGTCCTACTGCTCAACAAACAAAGTATCTCCAATGGATGACAGGTTTGATATGCAGGGAAAAGGAAAGGTGCATGACTGGAGTGAATATACCAGGAATTGATGATGAGATGATGGATATAAGGAAGAAAACACCAATCAAATCCAAGCCCAATGGGTCAGAAAAAAGGGGAAAAAAATCACAGACAAAGCAGTGGAGTAAGGGAAGGAAATAGTGGGAGATGGATTTAGAGGAAAAAAATCGTGAAAACAATGAAGTAACATCAAGAGAAGGGGAATATAATGT